TCATCATACTCACTTTAAAGTGTAAAAATTAACAACCAGGCTCAGCTGAAGCAGATTCTACTAGTCATAATGAAGATTGCAAATATGATCTATTACATATTCCTATGTGTAAAGCAAGTCATGTTCATTGAATAATATTAATTCATTAATTTATTTAGCTTAAATGTATTTTTTTATTTAGCTTAATTTGGCTTAAATATATTTAGTGCCTTCAAATTTACCTCAAAAGTATAGGCCCATCAGGAGAAGATTCCTGCTCAAGGGCTCTTACATTTACATATACTTTATCCAAAGCAACTTGGCAGATATGAAAAAGATGAAGTAAAGATCTCTTGTTTTGTTAAAGGCACACGTTGTGGACTCCCTTATTTTATAACAGTTGCTGCTGCCTAAACTCCTTAATGCTGTCAAACTTGAAAATGCAACTGCAATAATGCATATTTTGGTTCTAAACTTTGAGATAAATTTTTATTTATTTAAACTAATATTCAAATTAAACTAAAAATGTAATTATTCATGTATACAATTAAAAGAAATCGCAAGAAAAGTTTGCTGCCTACATAACAGTTTTGTGTGGCAAACCTAGTTGCCACCCCAATTATAAAAACCTGGACACGCCCCTGAATGCAACAATATAATATCTCTTATAATGGAAAAACATTTTTATGACATATGTTGTTATTATGAGAAAATTTGTCATTTTAATGAGAAAAAAATGTTGTTTTAACAAGATTGTCATTTTAATGACAAAATCTGGTTATTATGAGAAAATATGTTGTTTGAATGACATATCTTGTTATTACGACATAATTGAGTGAACAAAATAATATGTATGTGGCAGCAATGCAACACCATACTAAGGGACCTGCTGCTCAGATGCAATTTGATTATGTATTTTGTCAATATAATTCATATACGGCAAGAATGTTCTGTTTTTTCTGTATTTTCTAGAAAGAGTTTTGAGACATTTCCTGTCTCTGCATAGAAGAGGTGGGTTTCTATTAAGCTCTGATTAATCTAATTTCATCTTTGCTTTAAAACTCATTTTTACAGTATACTTGGA